GTAGATATGAGCGCAAGTCAAACTGATAATACAGAAAAATAACTCATCATGGGTCGAGAGACTCTCGAGAAGATGAATGAGAACGGAGAACTCTTCACAGACATGTGCGCCTTAAATGATTTGGTGATCGGGGACGGCGTGTGCAGGCACGAAAATATACACAAGGCAAAATGAACCTCACCTGACGGACACACTACAAACCAGAGAGACTGTATCGCAACAGTGCTCAGAAAAGTGGAGAAGCAGCCAGTCACAAAGTCGAGAAGGGGAGCAGGTGTGGGCTCAGATCATCATCTAGTTCAAGTGGTCTTCAAGGTGAAGCTAAGGCCCTTGCGAACAAAAGGAGACGTACCACAGTTCAAGTCCAAAATTCAGAAACTGAATGACAAATCTGCGGGGGAAACCTCCATTACAGATCAGGTCAAAGCAAAGCCGGACACTACGTATTATTGCTGAGGATACCTGCGTGGGAGAACACTGGAACTCTCTGAATATTGGTAATGTCCAAGAAAACGTGTAAAACCATTCTAGGAAATAGGAAGAGACAAGACAAGTAATAGCTCTGAGCAGATACCTGGAAGCCAGTGGAGGAGGGGAGTATACTGAGAGAGAAGATGACTCAGTGATAAGATGGATAAGGGAAAGATAAGCTAAGTTCAATGTACATTGCAGTGAATAAAGAGAGAAGTGAAGAAGAGTGCCAGGAGAGAAAAAAGACAATTCTATGACACACTGGATGGCGGTAACTAAAGTAGAACGGGCAGGCAGCAGGTGAAAAGAGACCTCTGAACACTTTCTTACTCCTTGACGTTCCCAGTGGAACAATGGGCTTCAAGCTCGGGATCTAAAGTTACAGTAGCAATCGTGTTTATTTTTATGGGATGGGGTCGCTAGTCTCATGCCTAACCTTCCCTTTCTACCAATTTTATTGCTGGCTTAGAGAGGTAAAGGAGTGCGTTGGCCGGGGATCGAACCACAGGCCACATGCGTAGTCGGCGAGCTTTTTACCGCAGTGCCACAAACTCCTCAGGACACTACATCAGATAATCAGGTCTATAACCAGAAAGAGGTCAACTCAATTAATGAAAACAATAAAGGATGCCCAAGAAAACCAGATTACCAGGGGAAATAGTAAATCAAACAATATGCTGGTTACTTTAAGGGACTGTTGAAAAGACTGTCACCCGCAACTAGCACAGAAATAGGCCAACAGCACGCACAGAACTGTCTACCAGTGGAAACTAGTCCTCCAAGTGTGGCAGAAGTCTTGAATGCAATCAAGTTACTGGAATCCAGTCAGAAAGGTAGCAGAACCAGACGGAATTTTGGGAATCGACTAAGGTCTCCGAAAGAACTGGCGTGGAATAATGCTGTTGTCGACGCCGGGTAAGAAACTGAGTCGCATCAACCTGGAGAGAATAAAAGATGCAGAACTAGATGCAGAACTCTGCCAACCGGAACAACCTAGATTAAGGAAGGGCAGGCAAATCATTTGCTGATCAAAGTGCAAACTTACGCATCATCGCCACAAAACAAAGCATAGAATGGCAGTCAAACCTCTACCTCAACTTCATCGACTTCGAAAATACCTTCGACAGTGCAGCGTTAATCAAGAAGTAATTTGGAAACTATTTCACCATCGCGGTGTGCAGTGATCGAGTGTTTGTCAACCTCATCCAACAGCTGGCTATATGACAGTGCCACGTGTCAGCTGATTCACGACGGGAAACTCAGCGAAGCGTTCGCAGTGAATACAGGAGTGTGATAAGGCTGTCTGCCTATTATCACCGATGATTACATCCTTAATTTTGGTGGACTGAATTAGGCGTCATACTGTGCGAGAGGAGTGAGAAGAAACGAATAAGCTGCACTGAACGATAAGAAGACTCTAGAAGATCTGGATTTCACGTGTGGATGATTTGCGTTTAATGTAACACAAACTCGAATACCCACATGCAGGTAAAAACCAACAAACTGGCTGAAAAGGCGGGCAGAGAAGACAGGACTCCAGGTCAACATAGAGAAGACGGAGGTGATGAAGATATCCACCAACCACCACCAACAAAAACAACAATCAGCTTTAATCAGAAACAACGGGAGAGATTTGGCAGATGTTACCTCCTTCGCTTATTTGGCCTGGAAGCACCGTTTGAACTACAGGCAGTCAAAACGGATGAAGAGGTCGAAACCAGGCAGAATTTGAAAGGCAAGATACAACTTCATCAACCTGAATTCAGCTTGGAAATCTTCTGCCCTCCACGGAGTAAAAAAAAGACTCTGATCCTATTCAACACAAATGTTAAGCAAGTCACTTCTTCCATATGGGTTATAAACTTGGCCAGCGTGTCATGAAAAGGGTTTCCAACAGTCTAATGCAAGCTCTTATCAACACCTGTCTTCCCTAACTCCATACTGACGATTTAATGCCTAGTCAGTCGACTAGAAAGAATTGGTAAAAAGAAACTCAGGCAACAAACCAACAGCGAGCCGACTGTTGAATAAATATGCAGGAGAAAGTGGAGATGGAGTGAATATACGTTGAGGTGGCCGTCAAATGACATGGCACGCAATGCGGGCCATTGCTCGAGTGGAATCAAAATGGAAAGCGATGAGTGGGCCGTCATTGCGAGGGTAAAGTGGAGGAGATCGTCGAGGGAGGAGACTATGGTCAGTCATGGACCTAACTGAAGAGGATCGCAGAAAATAGAATAAAGTAGTGATGTGTTTTTAAAGCCTTATGTTCTACAAGGGGGGAGGGAATAATAACAGATAATAATAGTTACCTACACTACACTTGAATAAACCAGGATCGCAGCAGGTCCAAAATACATGATAAACGTCATGGAGGGAGAAGCTGATGGAATTTAATAAGGACAGGCTACTTGGTGTTTACCTATATTTATGTGCAAAACATGAGCTCATTCATGTCGCACCATTTCTAGTAAGCGTTTACAGCTCACCAAATTTTGCTTTATGGTCGGTCGCTGTGATATTTTTTGAACGTCTCGTATTGTGCAACTGGTGTGTGATTACCACTCTTAACAAACACATTGCCTTCATGATGGAAGGTTCTGTACGTGCAACAGTAGCTTCATTTTCCAAAGTGATGACATGTCTCTCATGCCTAACCGTATCCTGGACCTAGTCATACTTTGTCAGAGATAGTAAACGTGAGTAGGTAGACTCACGACATCCGAAGTTCAAAAGCCTGCAAATAGCAACAAAAATCGAGAATGAAGACATGTCACCAGCTCTTAAGGAAGACATAAGATGATGCTAGTTACCTGTTTTTAAGTTTGGCGTGACGAATCTTCTACTAGCTTGGAACGATTGGACACTATCCTGGGACGAAAAGGTATCAGCCCACGTGATCTTTCTCGACTTTGCGAAAGCATTCGACACAGTTCACCATGGTCTGCTCCTTCACAAAATAAACAAGGCGGGTGTTTCTGGAGCACTTCTCGCATGGCTGAAAGATTACCTAGGCGAGAGAGAATTCTGCACTAAAGTCAACCGCATCCGATCATCCTGGCACACCTCGGCATCAGGGGTTCCTCAGGGTTCTATCCTAGGGCCGTTGATGTTTTTGATTTTTATCAACGACCTGCCCTCCCAACTGAACTGCTCTGCGCTTCTTTACGCCGACGACGTAAAGATTTGGAGAGTAATAAACTCATCAGAAGACTCAGATAGATTGCAGGCTGACCTGCAAACTCTGGGAGACTGGGCTTTGGCTAACGGAATGCCTTTCAACCTAAGGAAGTGCAAAGTAGTGCAACTTCATTCGGGCAGGTCACAGAGTGTAAATTACACCCTTGGTGGCCAGAACTTGAATTGTGTTCCATCAGAGCGCGATATAGGTCTTATTCTAACAGAAAAGCTAGACACCAGTGGAAATTACGCGAGGGACGTCGCCGAAGCCTACGCAACTTTACACTATAAGCATAGGCAGCTGGGAGCTCTCACTCCCGAACTGTTCTTAAGGTTATATAAAACATATGTGAGGCCACACCTTGAGGTGCATAATATCATTGCACCTCCGCTACTCAAAAGGGATGCTAACATTCTAGAAAGAGTCCAGAGACGAGCGACTAAATGGGTGATCGGCCTCCGTAACAAGTCATACGAGGAAAGACTAAAGAAATTGGGTCTTTTCATACTTAGTTACCGTAGGCACAGGGAAGACCTCATCACCGTCTACCAGATCTTAAATTACCAGGCCCACCCAAATAAAAGCATCCTGCCATTAAGTGATTATAGGCTTCCACGAGGTAACCCGCTAAGGATAGCACACCAGAGACCAAAGACTCGAGTGCGATCACATTTCTTTTCGCCCCGAGTTTGCAGTCTCTGGAACGCTTTACTGGCGGCCGTGACTGCAGCGCCATCTCTGGAGATTTTTAAGCGGAAGCTAGACAATCATGCAGAAAAGCAAGGTTTGTGTCTCAATGGCTTATCCTCATAAAACTTAAAACCACACTGTCAATGGATAAGCGTACAAACTAAATCCCCATGACCTATTCCGCCTTCTCTCACTCTATCTTTTCCTTAGGTCACCTTTATTATTCCACTTATCTCAACCCATATTATCTACACCACAACCTATTATTATTATGATTATTACTATTCTGCTTTTATGACTACACCGAATGACCAACGGGAGTTAGGTCAAACTCCATTCACGGCAGCAATACAGTCCACATCTTGACCAATCCCCGCACCACTCCTCTTGGAGTCTACCAGAACTAATGCAGTCGAGTGGCGGGACTTACTACGCAGAAGCTCACCGAAGATCTGGAACCTCTACCTCACAATCAAGAAGTGAGCTCAAAGAAATCACTGGTTTATACTAGCTCGTAATCAGGATATTGGATATTGGACTTTTAAAGCGTCATGTTTACATAATGTTTAACAATTTTCACAGAATCACTAGCGAAAATATCAATACAGAGAGAGTTTATTAGTGAAATGCTGAAATCCCAGATTTCTACTTAGATCATAAAATGAGAGAATTTTGTTTTAAGGGCTGTCAAGGTTAAGTGGCAACTTCTGGCCTATCAGCTGTCTGTCGGCAAAACAGCTGATTGTCACCTATGGCGTGTGATGTACTCTTCAGACTAAATAGTCTGGAAGCAAAGCGAATAAATATGTTGAGATTCCCAAGTTTATAAACACCTCTGTTTAACAAATATGTGCATTGTATAATCTCACACTAAGAGTGATCTTTAGTGCATACAAACAGCATAGAATAAATACCCTAACTACATTCAACTCCGAATCTAATCAAGTATGATTGATAGTGCTGGGTCGGAAGTCTTAACTAGTAGGTTTTTTTCCTAAAGTTGTACTAGTGACTGTAGTTTTAAACCCTAAGTTATGCAGCAGTAATCAAGGTTCGAACGCTCTCCAATATGTATGTCGGTTCATTCTGTCTCAGCAGGCCAAAATCTATGGTGGGATATTTGATTACATAGATGGCTCTAATATCGAAAGGCATGAAACTAATAAAGATGAGGGAACTAAAGCTCTTACAATGGCAAGTTCTTACATCTTAAAGCTTATCTATTTAGAACGACTCCCGTAATGATTCGTGGCGAAGTCCACAATTCAAGAAATCTATAGTAACCATCGAAACACTTGTCATCGGAGAAAATTGTTTAGAACACTGTGGAGACAATAAGATCCCGGTCTGTGTTATGGAACAATGGACAGTGAAACTAATCCCTCAAAAGTAATGTTACTTCACTTTAATAGCTCACCTTAGTATGTTTATTTGATTTGACGTTAATTTTATGTCCTATAAACCCTCAGAAGTTGGTTTTGTTGAAAATAACTTTAATGTAATCTAAAACTCATGTCTCGTTGTGTTTCTTACATTGTCAGCTTTTCAAACAGAGGTATCTCGATTTCTGGTTGTCAGCTTGAGCTCTTGGACTTCATAGAAAAATCTCCTCTAATGACTGCGATTAAAGACCTCAGTCGCGTTCGCAAATATAAGATAACACACAGGTTGGTACATAGCTTTTAGTTTTGACAAAAAATGATCTTCGTCCTGGATAATAATTAATGGATTTTTATGATTTTTGTTCATTTTAGATCTTATGCACGTGACCCTGTTTCTTGTATAGGTGATTCATTTCTTATGAATGCTTCAGATTTATTGAATATGGACTTCACTTCTGATGATCTAAATACGTATGTTCAGTCATTCTTAACTGAAGATGGTTGTTGTTATGAAAGTGCCTCAAATACGGTTTCGAAAATTGCCCTCCAGAATGGGACTGAATGCACTATTACACGAGATTTCACACCTTTATCTGTTAACGAAACAACACTCTTACATATTAGTGCTGTAACATTAAAACATCCACCTCAGCAACCTCCGTCGTGTCCATTTTGTCTTCGCTCAATACGTACAGTAAACAAAGATGATTTCGTTATGCCTGGTCGTAACAAACGTATTTCACCTTCAAAAACCCTCACAGATATCAATATTTGCTCAGAAGATGATACATTCATATTACCTGCAATACAGGGAAATGGTAATGTCCATCAACGGAATTTCCTAAACTGTTCTAAAGAATCTGATGTAGAAACTAGTCGAAGTCCTGCTGTTATAATGGACTCTGAAGAAGCTATTTTTCAGTCTTCATATGACAATCTCTTCAACGACATCCTGTCATCCAGTTCTTCAGGGAACTGCACAGAGTCAGGTCACTCAACGTTAACAAAGAAGTCAACTCGTGTTGTCGAATCTAATCGGGTATCACAAATGCCTTTAGAACCACCTCCCCGTAAACAACAGCGTGTCAGTGATTACACTCATGATGTTACCACTGAAAACCAAGAGTTAGATAATACCAGTCAGGTATCCACTTCCGTTACCAGCATCCCTACTATAACTCCAAGTATTCAACGTGAAGGTTGCATCAATAAGGTAATTGCGGAATTCACCATGCTTAATGTAGAACGCAATCAAAGTATAAATTCTGTTGAACATCAGAATTCTTGTAATCCTGGTGTAATGCGCCTACCGACAGATGATTTGTGTTCAAGGGAAACTGTACAAGACAACAGGAAAAAACAAGAGCACACTTTAGAATCGCATTTAAATGCAAGCAAAAAGAACTCACTGAATTCTGATTTTGATTCGGTATCAAGATTGAGCAGGAGACGGAATGCTGCTTCTGCATGTGCTTGGCCTTCATTTCACAATGAAGGAACTCCTTTCTTCAATCGTCGGACAGGTTTACCTTTACAGTCATCTCCAGTAAGTCTTACCCTTGTGTTCATAAGTCTTTTATACTAAATTCGTTGTGTATTATGATGAGTCTTATGTTTAGTTGAATTCGAGCAGTACGGGCGACATAGTTGTAAGCATAGTGACAAAATTAGCAAGACACCTGAAATATTTAGAAAATATGTATTCCACTGTAACTGCATATTCGTGAGATTTGTGATATCATGGTTATGGTGTATTACATTTCTCACATGTTTATTTGAATGCAGTCCAGACATTACTTATTGAAATTGAAAAAAACAACAACCCCGTTGGTTGTTCTACGACGTTTTCACGTATCTATCTGCGTTTAATTCCCTAAGCCATTTTCAATTCGTAAAAGGAATAATAACCGCATTGTATTGCCAGTTTTAAATTCAACCTAATAGATCCAACAAAATTGTGATTTTTATATTAACTCCCTGTCGTATTAATTTTTCGAAGTGCTTTTTTTTACTACAACTTACTGACATGATTATTTTAATAAAAATAAGATGTATTTCAGCGTGAAAATGGCAGGAATAAATGGCAGCAAACTGTAATATAGTACAAAACCATTAGACTGTCGACTTCTCATGTATGCTATCTAAGGCGTAGTCTAGATGACTCGATCAAAGTTTTAGGAACTAAAAAATAGAGACTCTTCTTCACGTGATCACATTTCTGCTACTATAAAAGTCAATAGATTTACTCCTTTTCTAAATTTAAAGTGCGTCTTAATTTTCATACTCACACCATGTTTTAACAGTCCTACTAGTTAGTTGGCGTCGGTGGCATAGCGGTTAGGACGCTCGCCGACCATTAACATGGTCCGGGGTTCGATCCCTGGCCGACACACTCCTTTACCTTGCTAAGCCAGAAATAATTCTGGTAAAAGAGGAAAGTTTGGGCATGAGGCTAGCAACCCCATCCTGTAAAACAAACACTGCTACAGAAACTGCAAGCCACTAGCTTGAAGCCTTATGTTCCACTGGGGAACGAGAAGGAAGATAAAAAAAACTAGTTAGTTGAATCTCAGTCTATTGGGATATGAGCCACACTTTTTGTGTAAAGTCTTATGATACCACCGAGTAGCACAAACTGAACTAGGTGGAGTGGGATTTGAATTCAAGACCCACTGGCTGGAAGTCAAGTTCTTAATAGAATGAGCCGCATCCTTATACCATCTCACTAGCTACTTTATAAATTCCTCCTGTGTACACTTTAGCAACTCAAGCTGGTGCATCGTTGTAAAAGAGTTTATTCTGTAATTACCACGTAACGTAATGCAATATAGAGTTCATGCAGTAATTTGAATATATATGCATATATATATATATATATATATATATATATATATATATATATATATAACATCTCAACTAGTAGCATGGTTGTCTTCTGTGAATAGTCATGGAATATTAGATCACTTTGTCTCTGTTTTCTTATTATTCCCTTGGGTTAAAAGTAGCTTCAACAACATATCTCCACTTCATCCTGTCCTCTGCAGACTTTTTGAGTGGGCTATATGATCACCCATAAGCTATTTCCTCACACGGTCTTTTGAATGTCAACCTCGGAACAAGCCTAACTCATCGTTTCTCAATCGGGTTCCACTCGAGTGTCTGACGTGCGTCGTCACTCAATAGTCTCTTCACTGTGTCTCACCAATCTCCATTGCCTTTTTCATATTTATCAGGTGACTGATTATTGGTTGTTAGGTGAAGTTACTTTGTCTATAGTAAATCTGATCTTGCATAGCTTACTAGTTTACTAGGCATGTGACCTTACCCTGGATAATCGACCCAGTCGCAACAGAAACTTCAAAGCACAGTAATAATATAGCAAGTAAATTTTTCCTCCCCTGGAGTCGGAGAGATGGAATGACGCGGGCTGCTGAAAGCCTTTGGGAAGCTAGTCAGCCAATGTCTTCTTCCTATAGGGGCAAAAATAAGCATGGGTATATAGAATGCTTGCACGATGTTTGAGGCTTGGAAAGTTGCTCAGATTAAAAAAGAAATGAGAATATGCGACATCAAAGTTCTCGGAATATATGAGACTAGATGGAATGGAAGTGAACTGTCCGAATTGTTAGCTGGAGTCGGTCGTCTACTCTGGTCACTCAGACAGCGAGCACGCTGAGGGGGCTGCTATCATTATATCCCAAACAGCATCTAAAACTCTTATGCAACGGAAACCAATCTCCTCCAGGACAATGACAACAAGATTCAACTCAAAAGGAAAGGAAGTTTGAATAATCGAGTGCTTCACGCCTACAAACAACACAAAACATGGGAAGAGGGTGGCATCTTCAGGCACACCTGATAGACACACAAGAAGTCAGATATACTTCATCCCATTCTCAAGAAAGTGGAGACGCAGCCAGCTCGACACAGAATCAAAGAGAGAAGCAGATTTGAGCTCAGACCATTATCTAGTTCAAGGAAACTTCAATGTCAAGTTGGAAGCATTTAAAATAACTGGAGGTAGACGAAAATTAAAGTTCAATGGATAGAAATTGAAGGATGAAACCACAAAAGACACATTCAAGGCAGTCATAAGAGCGAATTCGGAGACGTTGCATAGCATCACCAAAGAAGCTTGTCTGGGAGAACACTGGAGCGCTCTGGAAGTGATGTTTAAGGAAGCGTGTACAGCCGTTTTCGGAAGGAAGGAGAAGCAGGAATGACTGTATACGGAAACTTGGAAGCTACTAGAGGAGAGGGGGATGGTGAAACAAAAGATGGACAATGGAAGGAGGAACTGAGTTCAGTTTACAACACACTGAATAGGAGGGTGAAGAAGAGTGCTAGGAAAGACCACAGACAATTCTACGATACACTGGCAACTGAAACAGAACAGGTCTCAGATAAGGACCTTAGAACACCAAATCAGATAACCAGGTCGCTATCCGCAAAGACGTCAACACAAGAGAAACCTATAAACGATGGTCGAGGGAAAATGATTACCAAAGAGGAGAGACACTTCAAAAGATTCTTGAATGTACCATTACCTACAACTTATCTAGTAGCACCACCAACAGCCACAGAACTTTCAGTGAACACCAGTTCTCTAACAAAATCGGAAGTCCTGAATCCCATTAAGTTACTGAAAGCTGAAGAACTTCTGTAATATGAAATAAATTCGATTAGGTTAACATAGATGTACTCAATCTCAGTCGGTTGGCGTCTGGGTTCGTTTCCCGTCCGACTCACTCCTAAACTTTGCCTAGCTAGTGGTGATAGCCCAGAAAGGAAGGCTTAGAGTAAGGCTTGCAACTTCACCACTACTGAAACTTTAAGAAGAAAGATTTTAGTCTCATGTTTCTCTCTGGACTCAAGGAAAAGATGTAGTCAGGCTTTATTATCTTGCAAATCGAAAGTATTTCTCTTCATTCAGACTTGTAGGCAGTATGCTTTTTTTGTTGTTGTTAACACTGTTCTGTTTCTGTGCTATTTTGAAATTAGAAAATTTAAATGAATTCATTAGTGTACAAATATTTTCATCGATTTGGACTTTTTTTTGCTTAGTGTGCGTTCTTTCTGTCAGTCTGTGTCAATCTATAGCTAACACGATATTAGTGTATACAATCCGTTAAATGTTGTTCTTGTTGTTGTTTTTCATATTTGTCATTAAACTTGATTTTTTTGCCTTTCTAAAACTCAATCATCTGTTTCTTTGTACATTAGTCATCACTTTATCAATTAGTCATTTTCTCACAATTAATTATTCTCTTTTATTATTTGTAATTATCTTCTTTTAATATTCCCATTAGGTACCTCTCAAAAGAAGTACAAGTGGAAAGTTCGATTTTGACTCGTCGTTTAGCCGTTTGAAAACGTCTCGAAGGTGAGAAAATAGTCAAAAACGATAATTGTCTTCTTATTGTTTAAAGTTGTATTTACTTCGTTTAAATAAGTACAATATGTTTTGTACGGCATGCCTGAAAATTATGAGTATGATTGTATAGAGGTAAAGATTGTGTAAACACGTTCGATTCATTATTTGTGTATTGTTATGTTACATAGGTCTTTCGAATGTAACTCTATTTTAACTGAATACTCTACAAACTCAAAGACATTAGGGAAAAAAAGAATTAAACTCTTCAACTTTGAGTTTACCAATATTAATTTGTACACTGGATAAGGAAATTGTATTCGTGTGTATTTGAAGGCACAATTGGAAAGTTAAATAAAATGCATTGTGTACATTCGATTTCAAAGTATACGCATGTGGTCCGGATTCGATTCCAGGCCGACATACTCCTTAGTCTGGCAAAGTAGTAAGGTTTGGGTGTGAGGTTAGCAACCCCTAACCTGTTAAAAAAAACACCACTTCTACCGAAACCTCAGAGCTGAAAGTTGTTGATGTCTTATGTTCCATTTGTGAAACATAAAGACGTGAGAGACAAAAGTAGAAATTCTTTAGTTTACCTTCTGAATCTTATTGGCTTCAGATGAATGAATGTTATCCAGTGATGTATAGAAATTTAAATCAGTAATTTTCGATAGACATTGTTGACATCTAGACTATTAATCGGTTGACTTTAGATTCGAATCCATTTCAATGTGGATGATACCACTTCATTTTAGTGTTTATTAACTCCGTTATTACAGGGAGTGTAACTGATAATGTCTACTGCATGCATGCAGATAAGTAGTCACTGAGTGGTATGACGGATTGAAACAATTATCATTCGACAGTCTTGAAATCCATTGTACACCTTAATGTTACATAGTTTTTGGATTTTTTAGGGATATGGATTGATTTTAATGAAGATTTCGTTACGAACCGCTACGAGTTAAGGAGACCATTGAGAACCAGGAAGCACTGGACAACTGTTTCGTCCTAGTTAGGAACTCTTCATGCTCATCCACAGCCCTTTTGGTAGTCTAACCAGGGACCTTCAAGTTAAAAGATCAGACTCGCTGACCATTCATCCATGTGAGCTGGGACTGACTGAGCCGTGAATTTTAACTTCTATTAATTTGTGATATAAAGCTACTATCGAGCAATGCCTTTAATAAGTATCGACTTAACCCTGACATGGTGGATTCCACTGCTCTGACTTCTCAGTAAGGCTTCAGGACATCGATCTAGTAGCCATCAATGAACTGAAGATTGATATTTAGATTATTGATGACTGTTAGGTTCTACCATGTCAAGGTGAATTGCGCAGGGATTGGTAGGGCGTGAAGACAATTACTCGCCAGCGATGACATTCGCTAGTGGTCGCACCATATCGTAAATTAGCAGAGGTTGGAATTCATAGACTGGCCATTGGATCGAGTCCCAGTAGTTTAATGGTCTACGAGCTCGGTAACATTGTAACCAGGAGGGTGCGTACTGACGAAGAGTCCCGTAACAGGCTGATGAAACAGCTGCCCAGCACTCCCAGGTGGTTCCCCTGGGAGATGAAATCCTGAAACCAATCGAATCCCTTGCAAACCAACACTTGAAACATAATAACATACTGTCTAACAACTTTTTATCAGTTGCAGACAGAGATTAGAATTTAGAGATAAGGGCCTGAACCTGTTTAGATGTATTGGTACACAGAGGTGAAAGTCTGGAATTTCGGTGATGCCAATTAAATATCTGTACGGTCTAATAATGTGAAGAATTAAGAACTACAAGTTATCGACAATTTCTGTCTCATCATAAAGATAGTTGTAGGTATTTTAAACAAAAATACCTCACGGAAAGTAGAACAAAAATTGTCAAAGAAAAAGGATTATGAAATGAATGAGAATTTGCGTAGTTATTTTTTATGAATTAATAAGAAGTTATTCGTCAGAAAAAAAGAAGACACGATAACGTTATTTAGAAATGGGTTTATCAAACTAAAGCTATGCTAATTGCATTCCCTTACTGTGTACGAAGGCTGGATGTAAAATGTTCAACAAAGCGTAATAGTAAGATCATCCGTTTCCTAGGGATTTGGATCAATCTCAGTGAAGATCTTGTCACAAACCAACATCAAATTAGAGAATCATTTAAAACTAGGGTGCACTCACTGGATAGCTGTTTCACTCCAGTTTAAGCTTCTTCATCAGTACTTTAATACTACCCATAAAGTTGTGATAAGAAGTTGTGGCCAGTGTGGTTCCCCGTCAACTCAAGGTAAAGTAGATGCTCATCATTGACATTCTTTGGCTAAAGGTACCTACGTTCTATCTCCCATGTTAATTGGCATAATAGGGTGAGTAATACTGGGGTTGGGCTTCCAGTGAGTACTAGATGAGGAGGGAAAATCAATCAATGAGGTTTTGAAGTTACATAAACTGAGATGGTTGGGACATGTGTTACGCATGCATGCCTAGACATCGCCTTCCTCAACGACAGGCAATGGTAGCTGCTGACATTGAATCGATCAGGATGGAAAAGACCTAGTAGTGGTCAAACCAAAACATGACTTCATCAGACAATGCACTTCATCATAACAGTTCGTTTAAGCCAGCCAGGTAGGGAGGTGTAGACGGCCAGGATAGTTGGAGCCATTGGGATTCTAACATCCAATAGCCGGAGACAAGTGGTGATATGGTTGGCTGGCTGAAATTCGTTGTTCTCAATGATGGAACAGATGCATTCACTCTTTGTGGTTTATCATATCCAATAAAACTATTGTTCTTCCGTATTATTTTTTTCCTTTATACTTCTATTCATTATCCATCTTTTGAATGTGTTTTTGCTTTCTCCTCCTGCTTTTTGTGATACATGGAGTGTGGCGACTGAAGCTGCTGCACATCTGTGCAAAGTTCTATGTTGAAACCAGTTATTCAGTCAGTCACAGGTTGGTGGTATGGCTAAAAGACGAACTAATTAGGCTAGAAGTCATGGGTCATTGAATTCCGGCCGGCTCAGTTAGCTGGATGATAACAAGTTTGGTGCCATAACCTGAAGGTTCGAAGTCATGGGTGCACACTGCTAGATTCCCAAATCAGGACGAAACATCTGTACAGTGCTCTTTGGTTTTCAACGATTCTCAGACTGATGTTTGTTATTGACGAGATTCACAGTGACAGAGCAATAGACCAGACATTTTTTGTTTTTGATTTGTTAACTATCCTGAGAGGTAGAAAAGATTTTGTGCAGTAGCATTCAAGTGGCGATAGAACTTTGAAGAGACTAGATAGACAGACGAATAAAACATTATACTGAAAAGTAAATTCTTTGTTACGAAACTACTATCTGTATACAGAGTTCATTTCTGACTAGATCCTCATCTCTATGAATGTCCACAATAGAATGAAACAGCAATTTAGTGCTTCGTTGTGTTTTTATAGTGTCTCTAAATAATGCTTTTCGTAATGAAAATTACATTTGTTAAAATGAATGTTTTATTTCTCCGACAAATGCTTCAAATAGTTTGATTAGTCAAAATAAAGTATTCAATTTGGTGAATAAATAAAAAAATCAAACCTACTCATCGTATAGTAGTCATACATTTCATAATTGTATCATGTTACTGTTTATACATATTTCTTGCTGTATTAACTCACTTTTTGATAAATTATTGCGATTTCTACCTCATTATGATATCTACCTGATTGCAGTAGATTGGATAATGAGACAGACAACGGGCAATCAGGAAACAGGCATTAAATGGACTCGCATAAAAAGAGACTTGGAGGATATGGACTTCGCCGATGATATATGTCTGATTTCCCACAAACTGGAAGATATGCAAGTGAAAAGCAACAAGTTGGCGACAGAAGGAGAAGCATCAAAGATAGGACTTCAAGTGAACATAGATAAAAACAGAGGTGATGAAGATTCCTGGCCAACACCAACAGCAGCAACAATAACAGACAATCAGCCAACATAAATGGGAGGAACCTGAAAGAAACAACCTCCTTCACCTACCCATCTACCTGGGAAGCATCGTTTCAACTACAGGCGGACGGTACTGACGAGGATATCAAAGCCAGAATCGGAAAAGCAAGATAAGCTTTCATTACTCTCAAGTCTGTGTGGAGGTCAACACCACTCAGAATCAAAAATAACATCCGGATTCTCAACTCCAATGTGAAATCAGTGCCACCTACTATACGGATCAAAAACTTGGCGCGTCATAAATAGCACCTCAAACAAACTACAGACTTTCATTAACAGTTGTCTTCGCTCAATACCACTCAAGATCAGAAAAAGATCAGAAAAGATCAGCAACAGGGATCTTCGGCAATGAGCAAACCAACCAGGAACCGATTGTGAAACAAATAGGCAGGAAGAAATTGAAATGGATTGGCCATACTATGAGGAAACAGACCAGCAAGTGACATCACTAGGCAAGCCGTTGCTCGAGTAGAACCCGAAAGGGAAGCGGCAAGTTGGTCGTCAGTATGATGGTGACTTGGAGGAGGTCATGTGAAGAGGAGATGAAAGCATGTGGGCAGACTTGGAGCAGGGTGAAAAAGTTGGCAGAAAACAGAAGGCAATGGAGACGGTTGGCTGAAGCCCGTATGTTCCTCTGGGAATTAAAGGATATAATAATAATAATAATAATCTACCTCATCGATTCAATTGTTCATAGAATAATATGAATCTATCTAAGGTAGTTGATAAAAGGAACTAAGTTGACATTGACGTTATCTGTCTAGTCCAATTCACTGGAAGTATTCAAGTGTTGGTTTGCAGGGATTCGATTGGTTTCAGGATTTCATCATGAACTGACATTGGTTAAAGGACCATTGGGAAACCACCTGGGAGTACTGAAGAGCTGTTTCATCAGCCTGGTTTGCGACTCCTTAGCAGTACTCACCCACCACCAGAGTTCGAAACCAGGACCGTCTGGTTACAATGTTAGCGAGTTCGTAGACCATTAAGCCACTGGGACCCGATCCAGTGGCCACTCCATGAATTCCAACTTCCGCTAATTTACGATATGGCGCGACCACTAGAGGATGTCATCGCTGGCGAGTATTTGTCCTCATACCCGACTTGTTGTACCCCACCCGTCACGAATTCCTACTGCAACCCAGGTAACCACCACCTATCTGAACCTAACCAGAATGTCTTAGGTTCGAACTTCAGTGGGTCACAAACCAGGGCGAAACAGCTGTCCACTACTCTTGAGTAGTTTTCCAATGGTCCTCTTATCGATATCAGTTCATGATAAAATTACTGGAAGTGTCTTACTACTGCAAAATATCTCACGAGATATTTATGTCTATGAGTTCTACAATGGCAGTGGCTTTAAAATTTGATTAGGTTCACTCAAAAGTTTATTAGCCCATGTGAATATGATACACAGCTGAATAGAACTCAGCTGCGAAAATTCCATCTTGCGTCTCAAGTGGAACATAGGACTTCAAGCTACTAATTAGAGTTTCAGTAGTAGTGGTATTGTCTTTTTTTCTGTGGGATGAGTTTGCTAGCCGCGCCCCCAGCCCCTTCGCTCTTCAGCTGGCTCACTGTCAGCTAGACGAGGTTTACGAGTGCTTCAGTCGGAAATCGAACTCAGATCTTCTGCATGACTGGTGAGCATTCTACCTCTGACACACAAAACTCTACTGTGCCGAAATTCGAGTCCGGGCCGCCTGGGTGGAAAGCTAGCAACCCTAACGGTTAGTTCGCAGAGTCATTTGGTTGGATACAGTTGGCAAACCCTACTCCACCTATTGGAGCCATCAGTAAACTGGGCAATATCACTGATCTTCATTACCAAGTCGATGAATGCATACATAGTTGTTGAAATGATCTTGTTTAACGCATATTTTATAGCTTATCTTGTTTAGTTAGTTTCATGGAGTATATCCCCATCAGATAAAAATCTAGTTTATGTAGTGCATTTCTTTCACACTATTATCATTTGAATACCAGTAAAACTGTGTTCATGTCTTGGTTGCTCCGACTGTGATTGTCCTAAAGGCAGTTAGTTTATCAATTTTATAATGGATTGACTCATTGTATTATCAAGATGTTTTGTACTTCAATCTATAGTTCACACAGTAGTTATGTATTTTTTTCGGGTACCCCAAAAAAACCTATTTGAAGAATAGTCAAAAGAACACTGAAAGAAGTTAGAAAGTGCAGAGACACTGACTTATGAAAATTGACCTTTACTCGTCTTACTTTTGTGTTGTAGCACTTCAATTATTATCTGTAGTCTTAATGTTCATTACTTTTTCTGTAGACCGGTGGAAACTAGAACTCACAAGTTGTGAAACACATACACACACACACACGCAGATTGTATGGTATCGGTGATCGCCTTAAAACCTGATTCCCTCAGCTTCAGTTACTCAAAGAGAGTTCTTCATTTTCATTGTCTGTATAATATCCGAAAGTGTCCACTGCCCAACTCATTGGTTGAAGAAAGAATTCATGGGCTGGTCATTGAATCGGGTCCCAGTGGCTGACATGTCCACAAGCATACCTTGTAACCAGAAAATCCAATGTTTAAGTCCAAGTCGGTGCATACTGCTGATGAGTCCTAAACTAGGGTGAAAAATCTATCCACTACTCCCTGTTGGTTTTCAATGGTGCTCTAACTGACATCAGCCTGTGGGCAAACCTGGAACAAATCAAATCCCTACAAATTAACTCTTGAAGGTCACCAGGTTTCTTTGTAAGCATCTCTGGTTAATCTTATTTTTTCAGAGGTGTTAGTTTGTAGTTTTTAGATGCTATAATTTCCCAATATTTTTATTTGTGTTTATTACTCTGTTGTCCCATAGTTCTATTTGTATGGTCTACAATCATAACTTAAGAAGTTCCAGTGAAATCGCCGATAGCTATGTTAAAGGAAATCAGTCAGTGGAAAAGACTTCTGAGCTGAAAAATATCAAGTCGGTATCCGGAGTCAATAATACTGTTCCTGTCAATATTATTACTAGTACAGTTGACAGTACAGATAGTAATGATAGCTGTGGTACAAAAAATGGTTCGTCTAACAACAATAATGATAGCAACAACAACAACAACAATAAGCCAAATCAGAGTGTTTCATTTCGTCGTCGACCATCCAGTTTACGATTCACTCCTCAGCATCAAGACCAGTCAGCTGAAGCAGCATTTGAACGTGGTGGAAGTAGCCGGTTGACAGTAGCTGCAAGACGACGTAATTATCCCGGGGAAATGGATTCAATTGAATTGAGTTGTAGTGCACCACCTTCGGGAAGTCGTGGTTTTCAAATATCTACAAGTTTAACTGATCGATTGGCTAACACTATGGCTTGTACACCTGTGCCACATGGTAGTTCACAGCATTTATTGGTTAACTTCGAAGTAAGTTGTTTGATTTTATCAATGTTAACAGTTAACTATACATATAACATATGTTTTCGTCGTTTATAAAGCGTCTCTATTGCCATCAAACATCACCAGTAGTTTTCCTGATGGATAAATTCTCTCTAAATCTCTCAAGACCCTTCACTTTGATATTGTATAGGTGTCTCAGGAATACACTGTATATGTCTACAGCCAGAGCTTTGACGGACTTAGTTTCAAATACCTAAGTTGCGATTTGACGCTGGCTTACGACATTAAAAGTTTTACAGTGATGTTAGTAGAGTGGATTAAAACGTCTACAAACGATGTTTCAATGACCTCAATACGTTAGACAACAGCTGTCTGACTGAATGGTTTCAACATAGAACTTTGCACAGGTGTACAGCAGTTCCAGTTGCCACCCTCCATGTACCATACAAAGCAAGAAAAGAGAGTAAAGGCACATTCAAAAGGGAGATTATAAACAGGTGTACGAGGAAAAAGAATGATAATAATATAACTGAACAATAGAGTTTTATAGGATATGATAAATCACAAAGAGTGAATGCATCTGTTCCATCATTGAGAACAACGAATTTCAGCCAGCCAACCATATCACCACTTGTCTCCGGCTACTGGATGTTAGAATCCCAATGGCTCCAACTATCCTGGCCGTCTACACCTCCCTACCTGGCTGGCTTAAACGAACTGTTATGATGAAGTGCATTGACTGATGACGCCATGTTTTGGTTTGACCACTACTAGGTCTTTTCCAACCTAATCGATCCAATGTCAGCAGCTACCATTGCCTGTCGTTGAGGAAGGCGATGTCTAGGCATGCATGCGTAACACATGTCCCAACCATCTCAGTTTATGTAACTTCAAAATCTCATTGATTGATTTTCCCTTCTCATCTAGTACTCACTGGAAGCCCAACCCCAGTATTACTCACCCTATTATGCCAATTAACAAGGGAGACAGAATGTAGCCACCTATTATCAAAGACAACGAGCCATTTCATGTTGAGCAGAATGCACGTCCTTTGGTCGATAGGCGAATGTCACATCTACACTAGAAATGGCATAATTTGGCATATTCTAAACGAGCCTTCTCTATGCGTGCTGAGATTTGGTCAGAGGTCAACCGACTGGCATTGGCTGATTCAGCTTCCCGAATAAGTGAAGTGGTCAACACGCTCTACCACTTCATTGCATTTTTTTAAGCTAGGTGTCGTAGAATCAATAAGAAAAGTGAAAAGAGTTGAATGTAGCACAGAACTATTTTGAAGTATTAGGGAAGGAAGACCTAAGTAAGAATTAAAGTGAAGAGTGATAAGCAGATGAATTTTCTTTTTGCCGATAGATATATGTGAGAGATTGGAATTCCCTGCCGAAAAAGTTGATGCATTGCTGCACGTGAAGACAAAACGAATTACGTTTGATTTCGGTATCTTATGACGTTGATTGCGTCTAGTCTTTCTTTATCATTAAAATTCTATCAGGAAATACTCTGAGGAGATGTAAATGAAATCATTGTCTCACTGAATCATCGTCTCAAAGAGAAGTTCCCGGGCATGAATGCCCTTCTGTCATACAATAAGTGCGGTTAGGGACATGGCACAGACAGATCGAGTTTCCGGCACCTGAGTTCTAAGTAACATATTGCGTAATCATTCATCCTACCAATATCTGTGAAGGTCGTCATTATTGAAAAATGATTTTTTTTAAACCCACCCCATACACTACTGGCGACCTCGTATCTCTTGAACACAACATTTATTAAATTATTTCCTCTCCCGTTGGCGTATTGCGACTTCTATCTTACCACAATCTTTAATGATCTTTATGTATATATATATTCTATATAAAGGAATTTATAATCGTAGAAAAATGCATAGTATACGTTTCTCCTGCTGTGTAATTTTCTTTAAAAGTTACATGGTTAAGTCTAGAAGACTAATAGGTAGCATTAATTATTCTGATGGATTTTTAGTGTGTGCTTATTCTAAGTTTTACGTCTCTCTAAGTGTTTTTCATTCAGTACGCTTACACCTTGTCTGATGATGACATGTCATTCATCTAAGGTGATTTTTTTAAATATTCATTTCGGTATTTTATACTCGAATAGACTCAATCATCATCACATGAGTAAATGACTTGTTCAAGTAAATTGCGTAAATATTCGTTAACAAGAAGAAGAAGCTTAAGGTTTTTTTCTCTTCTAAATATGTGTGCATATTTTTGTACAAATTAGATGGTTACACCATGGTAGAATGTATATGAATCAGGTTTGATTATGTGTTGGAATTCGTTAATCATCTTTTCAATAGTCAGTGATTGTAAATGGAACGGATCTTCAGCTGATACTGTTCAACTTATAATCATTCAAAATTATATATTCAGATCTGTTTTGTATTAACCAGTTGCAATCTAGAGAGTCATCATGATCCGAGTTCTATTCCCAGCCCAATAAGATAAGATAAGATAATAGCTTTATTCCAAAACAGTACTTGTGATACAGAATGGAATTCTCAGCATTTTACTACAATATTGCATCCAGTTAGTACGTTAACAATAAATAAAGTTCTACATAGATTAAGGTTATCTCAGTTAGTTTTGACAACAACATATTAGCATGTCGGTAGCAAAGCCAATATTGAACATAGTGTTTGAAGGTGTTAGAAAAGTAGATGCTAGTATATTTACTGACGTAAGCGGTAACAAAAGGTCGAGGTATACAGAACGTGAAAGAACGAAGAAGAATGTTTTAAGTAGAGTTTGTAAGGAAGAAAAGAAACAAAGCAGCACATAACAGACAAAAAAAGAGAGAGGAAATGAAAAGAAAGAAAGAAAACGTGGTACCTATAAATGATATGAGTTGGAAAGACGAGATACATTTCTTCTACTGACTATTTAATAATTTAAAGATTTCACGCCTAATGCTTTCTTTATCGCACAGAAACGAGCTAAGTAGGGTATGGATAAGTTTTTGTATTTACTAGTGCGGGCACATAGTTTCCTAAATAGGCTTCTGGTTTTCCCTGAAGAGATATAAGGGGAGAGTTGTGAATGTAGAGGGTGTTGTGAGTCAGATAAAATGGATTTTGCCCATTTTTCACATGAGTCCATGTGCCTGTCGACCAGAACATTAACAAGCTGTCTAAGTGGCAAACTGCTTACCCTGCTGACAACCTTTAACATCCTGCGTAATAAGGTATAGTCTTTCTTTGGTAGCCCTGGAAAAACTAAGGGGGAACAATAAAGAATAATAGACAGAATCCGAGAGTTAACGAATCGTAGGAGTAAGGATTGGTTGGGTTATTCCAGAATGTCTTAACTTCTTGATGTAGAAGGTAAGACGGAAAATTTTCTTCGAAATCGTCAAGATATGAGACAACCAGGAAAGATCAGAAGATAGAATGACGCCTAGGTATTTAATTTTCGACTTGGTTTCAATATCAGTGGCATCTATGTTGCACACCTCGTGAGTGCTAACTAGTTTGTTTGGGTCAGATTTGTGCCTAAAGGTGAAATTAACTGTTTGGCATTTGGAGGGGTTTAAGGTGAGACCGTTTTCTTTGGACCATTGGCTGATTTCTGATAAGAAGCCATTTAGTTTAGAGCAATCACTTTGACATTGGACTCCTCAACTTTGCCTTGCTGGTAGTAAGCTCGGTGATGAGGGGAAGTTGGGCGTGTGGTTAGAAACCACACTTCTTGGGAGAAGAACAGCACCGCCTCTACTGAAACTTTAAAGCCCTGTGCCCAACTTGGAACGCATAGGAATGGGAAAAAGCAGGTATCATGAGATTACTATTGTCGTATGCGTAGGATAGAGACACTATTGTCATAACTTCAAGATCAGACGTACCTGTGTGTGTGTGTTTTATAATGTCCAGTGCTCCTTCGTTTTTGCTTTGTGACAAAGATTACTGTGAGTCAGTCAATTCTTCACAAAGTTTACAAGGCAACTCTTGAAATTTAATCTGATGCTCGCTAGTGACTTGCTACAGGACTAAGTTTCCTGGAGTTCGAGTGAAAAAGTTGTGACCAGTGACGTCCATCCAGTTGGGAGTGAGGATGGATTTCCCATCGTTAACATTGGTTGGTGGTTGCCCTAAAATCATGAATTGGTAGGAGGTAGGATTCATGGACTGGTCAGTGAGTCGGGTCCCAGTGGCTGAATGGTACACGAGCTTACCTTGTAACTGAGAGGTGCTGGGTTCGAACCCTCATGGAGAGTGTATACTGATGATGAGTCCAAAACTGGGATGAAACAGCTGTCCAATAATCTTTGCTGGTTTTCACTTGTTCTCTCACTGATATCCATCCGTGGTAAAACTCGACAAACAAGTCAACTCTTGAAAACTTCACATAATGACAACTTTGATGACCTCCCCTTTCTATATTTTGCTTACTGAATTGTCTGAAGTTACACTTCTTGAAGATGCTACAAAATTAATTGACTTAAGTGACCAATTTGCGTAATTTACAATTTATCTCTGGAAACTGGATTTAATGGAATGACATTTATGGAGAATAGCGTAAATAGCATGAGATCTGTTACTCACTGACTGTCGCTACGTCTTCTCGTGCTAAGGAAGCGGCAATAGACAGAAACTTGTGTTCATAATATTTCGATTTTTCACCTACGATTATTGAACCTACAATTTTACAATGTTGATCAAGTTAATCCTCCTGTGATGATCACAGATATGTTTATTTTTAAACTGGAACAGTCGATGATTTGCAACACTCCAGTAGGATTATGTCAACCCCCCCCCCCGGATTACCTAGTGGTTTAGTTACCTGAGTCGTTCTTTGATCACTAGCATCCTTAAACACCTACGAAGTGATAACAGTGGCACAGTTGTCGAGTGCTTAGTAAGGAGGGGAAATCAGTCGACGAGGCTGTGAAATTACATCGATTGAGATGATTAGGACATGTGCTACGTACATATGCCTAGTCATCGCCTTCCTCGACCGACAGGCAATGTTACCTGACATAGGGTCAGGCTA